TATATATATATATATATATATATGTATATGTATGTGTGTGTGTGTGTGTGTTATAAATCTTGGAAAAGAAAAGTCTTGCATAGCTTTTTCCATGTTGCCACTCTAAATCAGTGGTCTTCAACCCCCGGGCCACAGACTGGTACCGGGCCGCACAGAAGGGGGAAAATAAGTTTTATTTTGAAAAATCACCGGATTCTCTCTATCAGACTATGACAATCAGACTATGACTCACTGTTGACGCAGGTCAGTGGTTAGTTTCAGTTTCTGCGAGGCGCATGCGCAGATCAGTTCTGGTGAAGAACAAAGCAGTTCAGCTACGTGGTCTGCAGCAGACAGGTGGAGGTGCGCAGCCGTACCTGTGCATTTTGAAGGATTACACTGCATATTTTTCAACCCACCTGACAAAGATTGACTATAAAACTATAACAAAATTAAACTAATATTTTAACAAGCTTCCTAATATCACATCAGAGCTGTCGCTTCACATTTTTGCTTCTGCTCAAAAAAATCTCTGCCCCTAAAAGTTGAAAGTCATGGGTATATTTTATTATAAAACACAAAACTATAATTAAACGTTTTGCACTAGGCATAAGTTCCTGTGCTTTTGTGAATAATCTGATGTGTGAATCACTGCAGGAGTTATCTGAACTTCCACCCAGCTGATAAAAACAGACGATGATCTCTGCTCATGAAGCTGTTTGTCTGCAGTCAGAGTATTTGAAGCCATGTCGGAGTGACCAGGATGCTTCTTTGAATTGAGCAGGAGGACTGGGGGCAACTCTTTTCTAAATCAGTGTCAAAGCGCTAAATATTGGGCAGATTTTTCTAAGTGTGGTCAAAAACTTAGAGCAATGCTTGTTGTCCCACAGTTAAATCTACTGTAATAAATGTTTGTAAATGATGTGCTAATGATCCATTGTTAGGCTGATGGTCTTTCTTGAGCATGTGATCAGCTGGTTCTGGTTGTCAGCAGCAAACTGGTTGATCCACTCTGAGAAGGTGCTATTTAAGAGACTGAGCTGAATACAGCACCTCAGACTTAGGAAGTCTCTTGGATGAGACGAAACGTTTCTTTTGCTTTGTTTTTTGGTTTTCTTGTTTTTTGAATGTCCAGAGGACCAGATTGAACTTTTTTTTGGAAATGTTTGTAAAATACACCAGAATGCAGGAAATGTCATCTACTTTATTCAAAATTCTGTTGGGGAGGACCCCCAGACCGGTCCGTGAAAATATTGTGACATCAAACCAGTCCGTGGAGCAATGAAGGTTGGAGACCACTGCTCTAAATGAATGAAGAATCTCATCGCTTCATTTTCGCCACATCCAATATGGCGGCGACGTCGACGTACGACTCAGCGCTCAACGAGAGTTAGCATTAATACCTTATGCTAACCGGCTATCAGTGTTAGGGTTAGCATTAGCCTGTGTGTTAGTACGGATCGTGTTTCCGTAACAGATCAGGGAATGACAAACAAAGCTAACAGAGTTAGCGTTAGCCTGTGTGCTAACCTGCTGTCAGTGTCTTCCTCAGGATATTTGTCGACCACGTTGATTATGTCGAGACACACCAGCCCCACACACAGAATCTTCTTTTTGTCCTCCATGCTGGTCCTGACTCTGACTGAGGCTTTAATCTGTCATCGATCATTAATAATCTGGACTTTGCTCCACGCAGGGGTCACTGTTCATCTAGTCAAGTTACAGCAACAAGAAGCACTTCCTGTCAGGAGAGACTACAAAATAAACGTCTCCCTGGTAAAAACAAATCATTTCCTGTCATCTGTAAGAGGTAATATATTTCCTAATTCTATTAAAAACACACACACGTAACAGCATTAAGCATATCAAATACTACTGGGAGACCTTATGGGGGAAAATCGGCCTTACATTTCTTATTTTCTGTTTTTATTTATTTAGGTGCAGCCAATAAACATTTTTTCTAAAGAAGCCTAAAAATCTATTTACTTTTTACTTTGTCAGAATTACAAAAATAATAAAAAATATATAAATAAAATGCTCCAATAACCTCACAGCAACTTTACTGCACTCCCGTGTTGTGAGGTTCCATTAGTGCCAAAAATATGTTTGTGTCTATGTAAAGTGTGTATGTAGCGTGCTCCTGTATATGTTAAGTGATATGTTAAGCACGATGCAGACATGTTCTTGTTTTTAGTTTTCTACACCGCCTTACAATCTAGCTGGTTTTTTCACTACTTTTTCCCTTTGACTGTCCTTTTTCGTTGCCATTTTATTTTAACTTATAAAAATAAATAAATAAATAAATTTGTATGCCTCTTTTATGATTTGCTATTGTTGTCGTTGTTATCCACTGTTGTCATTGCTCTTTGTTAAAAAAAAAAAATCAGGTCTGTCCTGTAAATGAGTCCCTGAGGCTCAATGGGATTAACCTGTATAAATAAAGTTTGAATGAATGAATATGTAGAAAAAATATGATTTAAATATTTGTTACATATGCAAATATATATATTTTTTTTATTAGAGCTTAAAAGTATGTTATTCAAAGTGTTTAGCGTAGTTGTTTATGTGTAATACCATAATAAATGTATGTTAATACCACCTTGCACAATGTGGTGGGTTGCCAGTTGGGCTTGTTTTCAAAGATCTGGTTGCTTGTTGCTATCGCGAGATCTGGCAACACTGAGTGGTCAGGAGGAGGGAGCACGCGACGCGGAGCAGATCTGACAAACAGGAAGAAGACACCGCTGAATCCACGGAGCGAATGTGTCGAAGATCCAACCTAGAACTAAGTTCACCGAGGAGTAAAACCGTGGAGACAGCGGGTCCAACAGACTGGAGGAAGCTGCGGAGAAACATCGGGTCTTTTTGAAGGAATAATCTCAGATTACGAAGAGGAGCTGTCGAGTTGGAGAGAAAATGAGTTCAGGTTTGTTTGTTTCATTCAGCGTCAGACGATGTTAGCTAGCTGTGGTTTCTGTGTAGTTGATGGATTTAACTTCTTAACAAGAACTTGTAAATGTGTTGTCCGTGTTTGTAGCTTAGCATGCTAACGATGAAAGAGTTGGACAGCTTCCATAATTTAAACAAGGAGATTAAGAGGCGGGAGGCTGTTTTTAACACAGTTTGGACACGTCCTGTCCCAACTTCTGTTAAGGACAACAAACAATTTTACACGTAACCAGGTTGTGTTTAAATTCATGGCCTCTATCTAGTGACGTGCGGATCGAAAAATATCGATACTCACCAGCAAACCGACTCTCTAGGATCGATTCTTACAACAAACTATCGATACTTTTTATACTGAAGTCGTTTCAGGTGATGCACATCATTAACAGGAAGATGGTGGAAAGTAACTAATCTATTGAGATCTTGTCTACGTGATACGCGGTTGGAGGGAACTACTTTTTCTTCCACCTGGGTAAGTGCGTACTGCGTGTAAGCAGAGCGGCACGCTGCTAGTGATCTGTCAAGGCTTCAGAATACTCGGGCGGACATTTTTCCACGCGGACTCGATGCGCACTGTCCGCAGAGGGTTCATGCTCGAGTGTCCACCCTGAGCAGCTGCTGTCAGCTTCACAGACAAGGGGGCGGGGCGTTTACCTTCGGGACAAATTGAGGTCGCCGATTGGTTATTTATTGACGCACCTACTGGATTGATTGGCAGGTCGCCAAAAAAAAAAGAAAGAGCTGGCAGCCCCAAGTTCTAAAAAATAAAAAACAGGGAGCGCTGGCCCTGCAACCCACACATCAGACCTGCCCACCAGGAAATCTCCAGACCCTCCCGCAGCCACGCTGGACCTGCTTTTAATTCACTCGTGACAAATTCCTTCATTTCTCACCATTTCAGTCATGGCGTCAACTGAGGAGGAGGAAGAGATCACTGCCTCTTGGCAAAAAAAAAACAAAAGAAAAGGCCAAATCAGGTATGAAGAAGGAGAATTTAATACATTGGTGTCGCATACAAAACAGTCCGTCGCCAGGCAGTTTATTGTGCGACACAGAGTACGCGAACGGAGTTGTAAAAATTGAGCTTAGCACGGACATGCCCTGCGGGCGTCCGCTTCAACTCTAATCCGGCAGGACTATCCAGGTACAGAGGGAGGAAATGTGGAGCTTCAAGTGGTGCCAAGAACTGCTGCAGTTGGAGTTGTTCAAATTAATACATATGGTTATGAAACAAGTAACAAAATAAATTTATGCGTCAACAAATAGTTGCATAAGTTCAGTTTGGAGTAATAATATGTGCATCACTGAGATAATCTCACATGGACAAAAAAAGCCTAGATTTATTCAGGTAAGGTTTCATAAAGAATTGATCATTTAAAGTGGATTACACGGACCAGGTGTCATCAAATTATACAGAGCGGTGGTGATGAAACAGCCTTGGTGAACTCTGAAAAATACATACTATAAAATATGGATAAAAATATAACATATCTTAAACGTATCTCATTAGTTAATAGATATTTAATAATTTATTTTAATAGTTTTATGATTTTCCTTATTTTCTTATTTTTATTGTTTGAAAAACCATTTTCACATATTTTGTATGATGTCCTGTTATTTTCTGTTTTATAAGCTCAGACTAAATGAGGCCACTACCTCAACATACTCCTGAGTTTAAAATAAATAAATTACTTTCATGTCTTACATTCTTTATGTACCTTTTGATCTGAATACACTGATTTTTTTAGGAAAACCTGACACATTAGGCGTATTTGCACAAAGTACTAGTGTCGGTATCGGTACCGCCGATACTAGCACAAATTTTACCCGGTATCGTATCGGACCAGAAACCCTGGTATTGAACAGCACTAGTGTTTGCTTCGTTGGCCGCAGATGAGAACAGGTACGTCAGAGCGTCACGTTTACATATTCCCATAATTTATTGTGCCACGGTGGCTGTGACCAGCGCTGTTACGTTAAAAAGTTACAAATGTCTTTGGTGCCTGTTTGTTTTCCACATATCCAGACCCTTTCCAAAAAATTAGAATATCATGGAAATGTTGTTTAACTTCCATAATTCCATTCAAAAAGTTAATCTTTAATAGATGATAGATGCAGGGCCCACAATTTAAACAATTTCAAGTATTTATTTGTTTATTTTTACATAATTTGGCCTTCCAGTGCATCTATTATGCGTCATCGCTGACGCGTCACATTTGTTATGCATCACTGCTGACAACTCGGAAATGTGGGCCGAACCCGGAAATGTGGGCCAAACCTGGAAATGTGGGCC